CCTATAAATATATGCACATAGATCTATTTCCCCATCCTCATATATAAATATATTTGCATATGTACATGCCTTTATCTAGACCTCTATAAATGCCCTTTGCCTCCCAGCTCTTTCCTCTATTTCCTTTGACTGAAAATAATTTTTTTAACTCACTGCCAGTGAGTCGATTCCTATACATAGCAACCCTATAGGACAGGGTAGAACTGCCCCTCTGGGTTTCCCAGACTATAACTCTTTAGGAGAATAGATCTGAAGGAGTGGCTGGTGGTTTGGAACTGCTAGCCTTCTGGTGAGCAAGAGTGAGCATAGCCAACTATGCCACCTGGACTCCTCAACTGAGAAACTTAAGTATGTAAACATGCAGCTCCTGAAAAGAAGAGGCTGACTCAGCAGACCAAAGCTTGGTGTAGCCTTTGGCACATACACCACAACAAAATGCATCTGTAACCAGTACCTTCCATTCAACAAGCAGGTGAACCAAAGCAAGAGGCCAAGTTCCTGTGAGCTGGTTAAGCCTATTTAATCCGGTTTTCTGGCACTGCTTAAAGCAATAAATCTAACCCAGAGATCAAGATTATTTAACTGTTTTTTGCTCCATTTGCAATCATATTCATTTAAACAAAAATTACTGTATGCTTCTCAACTTGATCCCAGTCCCCGTTATTGTACTCATTTAGGGTTTTGTGACCAATAGTGTTATTAAAGGGGTCCTTTGAAACCTTAGTGTCAACTTCTGAATTGTACAGTACCTCATGAACAGATCCTGAAAGCATAAAATAATTCAACTCCACACTAACAGAAAAGTAATAATTCCTGGAGATGTTCCTTAATTTCACTACATCTTTCTTTCAGATTTAACCAAATATTAAAAACCATAGTATTATATTTGTATTTTATAAAATATGTTTCTGAAAGCAATAATTATTCCAGTTCCAGTATATTCCCTGGAGAAAGAAAGGTTCATGGTCCAAAAATGTTAGAAAATGTTGTATATTATGTTTCTCTTGATGAGCAGATTGTTTTTTCCGAATCATAGAAACAGTTATTAAAGAGATTAAAAAGAAGCATATTTTCAAGTTCCTGAGATATGTAAACATACAGCAATCAATTTCTATTTTTCATTCCAGTGTCTAATCAATTAGCTCTTTTCTCAGCCCCCACTAGCATTCCATGTAACTATTCCTCTGAATAGTTTAGAAAAACTTGTTCTTTAGAAAAACTTATTTACACAAACTATATAACAATTCCAGATTTCCACAAAATCTAAACCAAGGTGTCAGGACTATGGACTAGATAACCAGTACTGCCCCTGTGTACCTTGCTTTAAGCGCTGTGAACTCAAAACTGAATGAGATCAAATCCCTTCCCACAGAGAGCTCAATAGTCCAAAGAATGTCCATGCCACCAAGATCCAACGGGCTTCAAAAAGTTCATGGAAAACATAAATAAGAGATGATCGTGGATTTTTCCACAAGCTTTTTTGAAGTACCCTCACAGGAAGCAATTGGGAAGAGGAGAGAAAACTGCAACTCCCCAAACCACTGGACTGTCGCCACTGAGTTGGTTTCAACCCAGCTGACCCGTGTTTCAGAGGAAAACTGTGCCCAATACGGTTTTCAAGTCACCTTGGAAACAGAACCCACACCTTTCTTCTGAGGAACCTCAGGGTGGGTCCAAACAGCCTAACTCACAATTACTAGTCAAGCACTTAACTCTAACTACTCTCCATAGCTTTCAGAGTGGGGGGTGGACATTTCAGGTCATATGATCACCATTCCATTCTAGGTCATCAGATGTTATTTGGAATCTATGAGACTAGAAATTCAAACATATCCCAAATTGAAATAAGTTCCTGGAACAATCTTTTTTTTTTTTTTAAGGGTCTGGCACCCCACTTTGCCATTGCCCTCTACCTGACAGCAAGCCAGGATGAGTCCCCTTGCACCAACAACTATTCTCTATTACTTTGTTCCTGAGAATTACGCTCACTTTTATGTTCATTTACTGTTCTGACAAAATTGGAACTGCCCCATGGCAACTGGTTCAACTGTACTTCCAGGTGGCAAAACTAATAAACTTTGAGTCATCCACTTCTGGACCTCCATCTGGTCCTGGGCCTTTGAACCACAGAGCATTCCAAGGCTGCCTGGGGCTGCCTAGTGTGAATCACCATTTCATGCAGCATTTCTGAATCTTTCTAAATGGAAAATCAAATGAGTGTTTTGTAATAAAAATGTCCTACATGGAAGGTCTAGATTCAGTTTCTAATTTCTGTCAACAGCTAAAGAGTTGTACAACTATGGGCATGTAATTTCACTCCTTTGGTCTTCGGACACCTTCTTTACAAAATCTTAGGGATTTAAGTTAAATCAATAATTTTCAAACTTTTTTAAAAAGCTGAACTTTTTTTCCCCAAATCAAATGACACATGAAACCTTTAAAAATGCATAAACCAATAATAATCCCAAATGATCTGGGTGAAGCAGAGGAAGGTCTGCAACACCAGCCCAGGTAATGTATCTACAGAACTAAATGGCCCTGAACCACAAGTCATGCCAAGAGAGGAAGATGGCAGTCTAGAAACCCACAGGGGCAGGTCTGCTCTGTCCCACAGGGCCAGGATGACTATGAGTCAGAATGGACTCGACGGTGGTATGGGGATGTTTGGGTTTTCTTCTGAAGTTTACTCTTCTGACACTATTATTCTTCTAAGAGTCTTCCAGATCACAAAACACTAAGAAATGCAATATAGTCCTTTCCTAATGAAGACTATTCCTGAAATTGGGGAAACTGTCTAGAGTTTCAAGGCCTTTTATGTGAGAGGTATTTTTTTGATCTGGC